AGTTTTATTGGTTTGACGGAACGATGAACGACAAACGGACGCCGATGCGTATGGACTCGCCTTAAGATTTTTGACGTTTGTCAAAGTGTTGCCAAATTATAGGTTATAATTTTGTGACAACTTTTGTCAAATACCCTGCGTTTTGGAAGATGATGCATTTTGATTCGTGTTATTACGTGTTTTATGTCTTTTGAAGTCAAGTGGAGGAAAAATCGAGTGAAAATTAACTGTAGAACCCAGAGCACAGTTTATGGTTAATACTCGCTGCCCAGGCAGAAAGTCTTATACAGATACACCAATAAAGTTACTATCAATAAAGTTCGTATACCATCTCGTCGTAGATAAGTGCATCTCGAATATGGTAGAAGGACCATACTAAACACATACTAAAAACTGGAGTAGCTGTAAAATATCGACATCACACGATAGGTAAATAATGGATTTTAGTACTGCAGAAAGTAATGTCAAAAGGTACTGGTTTAAAAAAATTAAGATTAAAGTTAATTAATCAACCTGTGAGGTATAAAATTTGGTAAGTGTTATTATTAATAAAATAGTTTGTTTTATTTATGTTGTTTTATTTATTCCTGCGGAATATTACAAATTCGTATTTGTACATAAGTTATATTGATAAATAATATAATCATAAATGCGGAAAGTTTTATAAAGCTTGAAAGTAAGAAATAGTTCTTTTTTATATTTTTGGTATGTGGTGTCTTGTTTTTGTTTGTTTTGTATTAACACATGCCGTTTTTTATTAAATAAAATAACTCGATCACATTTTTTGATTTTTACACCTTTTTTTTCACAATATTTTGAAGTCACTTGTCAGTCAAATTATAAATATATATATTAATTTCCTGCTATGCGTTCCAGTTGTACCAACTTATTTCTTTGAAAAATAAAATAAACTACTTTGAAATTAAAATGACAGACACATCTATCACTGTCAAGGATCTTCTCGTTGGACAGACTATATCCGTATTATTAACGTACTGTACGCAAATCCGTAAATCTACGGGTTATCAGTAGTTCTGGCAACACTGTCTTGTCTCCGGCAACTACTCACTCTGTCGACTGAAAGCAGAACCTCGGTCTGCTACGGTACTAGAGATGAGCGATATCGTGATTTTTTAATCACACTGATATTTGTTACTGTGATTTTTTAATATCAGTGATTTTTAAACGTGATGTGATCACAGTTTCAATAACAATAACAAGTCTTGTCGCTCCGTCCCAGTTGCCCCAGTTAAGGCGTAATACTCACGTGTTTATTTATATCTACTTTTTTTAGATTTGAGACAAACAAGTTTGGATTTGATTCATTTATCCAGTATTCAGTCAAGTTGCATTTATTATCGGCTACATGCCGGGTTACAAGGTCGCGGGTTTGTTTTGTTTATAAGAATAATTGTTTTTCTAACCTCAAAAAATAAATAATTTTATTGCAGTGATCTCAAATCTCAAAGTATTAGCCGAGTATTCGTACGATCAGTACTTAAACCGTTAAAACATTAATTGTAGAATATATTAATATCAAATTTACATCAATAACTTCAAGATTGACGACGTACCTAAAATGTTAAATCACCTAAAATCACCGTTTATAGTTTTTAAAAAAGCGATATTAAACGAAAGCGAGGCGGCCGGCAATGGTAATCGGTATCGGTATTTCCATTTTGTTTATGTTATATTAAATACATAACGGATAAACAAGTCTGTCGACTTTTTGCTCGTTTGCATAGTGTAAAAATCAACAATTCACGTTTTCTTCTCAAAAAAAGTAACGATCGTGATATGTGATTTTTAAATATCAGTGAAAAAATCACAGTTCGTGAAATATCGCTCATCTCTATACGGTACAGTATCCTTTAAGCCCCGTTCTCAGAACTGCGACTGTCGCCAGCGACACTTCAAAAGCACCAATGAGATTTGTACAAAATTCAAACAACTGTCAATTTTAAATTTAGTACAGTTCTCATTGGTTGTTTGAAATGTCAAACTGTGTCGCCCGCGACACGACGTCGTTCTGAGAACGGGGCTTTATCCGCTGCGCTATAGATGACTATCAGCGCGCAGCGGAGCAGAGCTAAACTAAAACTCGGAATTCTCGGACAGGCTGACGGTAACGCCAGCTACATATCGGACAGGAGACAGGTTTTGTTCCACGAAATCGCCTATAAGGTTGCGCATCTTCTTATTTCTTCAATCAACGACCATAGGTTAACACTATACAAATACACTATAAATCACGTGGACTACGGCTGAAGTAATTACACATAAACTTGTTTTCAACTACTCAATATTTTGGTACACCTTGTATAATTTCAAGGAACTATGACTGATTAATTTACTAAAAAAATAAACTAACTAAAATTATTCCAATTTTAGTTAGATTATACTTAAGATCATTGATGGAAAAAACCGATTAATTTCAATAATCGAGTACTCGAGTATCAAGCGATTTCAATAACCCAGCGATTGCTTGAGCAAAATATCGCTCGTATTTAAAAATACGGTTTTTCGTCCGCCGCTTATTGTAAGTACTCGTTAACTCTAAGCGCCAAGCAGTAAGTGCGTGCGCAGGATACAGATTCTTTCAGTGATGAATGGCAAGTAGCAAACGACGAGCGATTCGCTTGATATAGTTTATTTCAAAGCATTGTCGATGTAGGTCGTAAAATTTTGTCTCTCAGATACGCAACGGATAAACATATATACGGCGTCGTATAAATTTGCTACCTGCAATGTAGAAAATTCGCTCGGCTTTTTATCGAATATGTCACATTAAAATCGGATTTCAATTTATTTCATTCTAGGATCGCTTGCTTTCGCTTGGTACTCGTCACTTGCATCGGTTACTGATGTCGTTATTTCAATAATCGACTACTCGAGCGAAATTTCGCTCGAGTGATTCCATCACTACTTAAGATTCTTCTTCTAGTGGTATTTTTAGAGAACTTGTTCATTGGGTAACTAATAATACATTGCTGATATTATGTACATATTATATGCTATTTATTGAATTGCTAAGTCTCCTCTCACATATTTTTGTATAATTCTCGTTATAAAAGATACAATTAATTAACACTGTGTTACTATCTGACATAAAGCAAAACTCCCTACTCTGACCAAAAAATAACAGAGCAGTCAAAATCAAATTTCAAACTTCTTATTTAACGCAAATTATTGCTGCATGGCAACTTTTATCAGTCATCATATTTTTATCCTATCTACTTCTATATAAATATTCAGCCTTAAATAGTAAATAATACTTTCCAATATAAAAATTTGCATTATTTCAATGTAAAATAATTCGTGTATAATACTTTTCGTTACTTATTTAGTTCAATAGAGCTCAGATTATAAGAGATCAAGTTATATAATAAAATAAGTCGTCAGAGGCGACTTGGAAATGGCGATCAGTTTATAATAATAATTTTATAAAATAACATAAGTAAAATTATTATACAATGAATGTAATCGAACGTCATTTCCAGGCCAACTTGACGCCGTTTTTATCGATCATATATTTAAATGTTACTAACTTCATATAGTGTTCTTATCCATCCAAACATTTGAGTAAACAAAATGTTTAAAAAATAGACAATATTTTGGAAAATATAGTCTAAGCTTTACTTATGAGTATTATTACCTCCAATTTTATATAACTGATATTTTACATAATGGCAAGTTTAAGCTATAACTAAATCATTGGCTAGTTCATACTTCCGATCTTAACTTTAACATGTCCTAATTGGAGTGGTCAGAATTAAAATGAATCAAGTCCAATTTTCTACTATTTTATAATCGTCTTTATACGTTTATAGAATATTGTTTTTTTTTCCTGTAGAGAAATGAATCATACTTCTCGGATTAGGCAGCTATAGCCTGTTTATCCAACTTGTTTTATTTTAATTGAAACGTTAAAAAACTCTCATTTTCTCCATAATTACCTTTTGATTCAGTTCACTTGAATCAAACAGTTGTGTGAACAAGTGTTCACACAAACTCTAAAAGCATAATGTCTTTAGGAAATTCCACTGTCCATCTTTCATAAAGATCATGCATGCGTGCAGATGTAATCCTTGAACTTGCAGTTTGCGTTTAGAATTATCAGCGTCGGATTGGAACTTCTGATGTCACAAACTACAAAAATGACATTAAGGTAAAACATTTAATTATTTCACAATACGACTCTAATAATTCCAATCGCAAATTTAATATCGATATAATAAATATAATCGAACACCGATAGAGTGTCTTTTTAAAGGCATTATGATTTTATTGATGATGAAGGTGTATGTCCAAAATAGGCCCAGAAAAGTATGAGGTGGTAGATGGCATAAATAATGCGTCAAAAAATCAAAAAAAATTGAAAAATATTCTTGTGTCAAGTGGGAAGGACAAAGGTCCTTGTAACCAATTGTTCTGGTAAAGACCAGGACAATAATTTTATATTTCAACAGGATGGCGGGGCATGCCATACAGCTAAATCTACTAAAAAATGGTTTAGGGACATGAACATCAAAGTTCCCTCATGGCCTTCGCACAGTCCAGACCTTAATGTTATCGGGACATGTGGCATAAAACAAAACAAAATTTGTGCCACGATCCTCAAGAAACCGTTACCCATTTGACAATGATATTAAGTGAATTATGGCAAAATTTTTATTCTGGTGTATGTCAACCATTAATAAAAACAATGCCAAACAGGCTTGCAGTGGTTGCAAAAGTTCATGCCGATGTAACGCTATATTAGAACAGTTATTTTTTAAAGTGTCCGAACATTTAGTTGTCACGATTTTGTGGAATCTTTTTGTTTATTTATTGGCCTACAGTTTATCTTAATCTTTATAGAAACTAAACTATTTAAATACTCATTAGAAATGTTAGATTTTAATATATTTTAATGTATTTCTTAAAGGTAAATAATTCAGTCAATGAAAATATTTTTTTTTTAATAAATTTTTGTTTGTCCGAACATTAAGTTGTTAGGGCTCGTATAATAACGACAAAACTATAAATTATTTATTAACTATAGTTTGCAAATAATGTATTTATAATCGCTCTTGGAGTTAACTCGAACCGCTACTAGGGTCGCGAATTTTTAAATAATACGTATATGTCGCGAACAGCAGTAACTGGAACTGGTAAGTACATAGCGTCGCATGTTCTCGACCGCTTCGTCTGTTGCGAAGAGATGTAACTGGTAACGACCTACACCGCGACGTATTTCGCTCCAGTGCCAGTGGTCGCGCCACTGCGCGAACAGTAGTAACTGGAACTGGTAAGTACGTAGCGGTCGTGCTTTGATCGGTCGCTGTACCAGGCATTTTTGATTGATAATAAATACACGTTAGGTAGGTACATTATAAACACTTTTTCAAAAATAAAAAAAAATAAAAAAGTAGAAATATATGACCGAAAAAAAAAAGGAAATTTGTAAAGTTGATTGATTGATATCTTACATTCATATCTGCAATTGATATCTTACAAATGTATGTATTTTAATTTAGATTCTAACGGTTATAACTTGTATCAGAAGAATATAAATCTAAATATTATTGGCAAAAATATAAAACTTATAAAAAGCTATTGTTCAGTGTGAAGAAAAGATGGCGAATAAAAAGTATTGAATACCAATAAATTATATATTTTATATTTTTTATTTAATAGTTTTATTTTCAAAATTAAAAGCTAACATAACTAAATTCTTCTAGCCATCTGCATGTTGTTTACTGTTTACAAATTTGGGGGTTTATGAATTTGCACAGACACAGAGATAACAGCAGGGAGAGGGGTAGGTAGGTAGAGTGACCAGAAATACCGCATACAGGACATCGACACTTGGAAGCCGGAGCCTTGGTTACAAAATCGCGATATTCTCTATAACGGTCGCTACTGTAACGCGACTAATGTGGAACTGGTATTCCCATCACTATTTTAAACATAATTCCAACTTGGAGTTTAAAATCGTGTTTAATAAATAATAAAGCGTTGTAAACAAAAAAAAAAGTTTTGTTTAAAAATAAAAAGAACATGTTTTTCAACCCTGGTAAAAAAATGGCATCGAAAAGAGAGAGGTCTCCCTCAAAAACGAGGGGTAATGGATGAAACGGAGATCAAATTTGAATATAATGGATGATCAGGAGGTCATTTTACATATTATGAATCGATAAGAGAGTCAGGGACAATTTTCACGCAGACCAGTGTATCCGAAGTATGAACTAACCAATAATTAATGATGACGTATCACCTGCGTCCTATTATCCACTTAAACTCTATGTTGCAACATCTCCTCTGGTATTCCGTATATGCCTACTACTGGGTAAAAAGTCGTGGTCTGCGCTTCGTAGGTTTCCAGCGGCAAAACCGAAGGCTCGTTCACGACGCTGGCTTGCGGAGGGGCCAACACCGTGCCCGGTGGATTTCGATGGGGCTTGCCTGTGGGCGGAATGTCCTGTCTCGTCCGGCACGTCACGCTGGTGTTGATGCCGTGTCGCCGCTTCATATGTTTGTTGTAGTTGGGCCAGTTGGTAAAATGGTGTTGGCACTCGTTGCAAGAATACGGTCTTTCGCCTAAATAAAAACGGATTTCAGAGTAAAAAATATCCCGGAATATAATAGTCTGTTGAATCGCCGACCTGAACACAGAAAATATCATGTGAATTTTAAAAATAACGAATAAATAAGTTTTTCCCATTTTATTTAACAGAAAAATGTATTTGAAACTTTTTAAAGAACTCCTTAAAATGAAGGGAATTGTTCATTTTGAATAATTAATATGAATGCGTTTACAAACGATAGCCGGAAATACGGCGCAAAGATAGAAAACAAAGGTTACATGATAAGAGATGGAAGATCCTTGTCATGGGATTCAAGAAACTATGTATAATCTACACTCAGATGCAAAAAAAACGCAAGGGAGAAATTTTTGGTTAAATTTAAAGTGTTATATTTTTGTTATTTTTAGCCCTTTTTTCATTAATTTTTTCGTAAATTAAGTTTTTTATAAACTTTAGTATCTGACATTATACAGGGTTAATCGAGGGTTTGTTTTTTACGCTAACTCTTGCGCTAACTTTAAAACTTCCTGTGCAGTAATTTCGTGTGTAAATTTTCCTAAAATATAATTTTACGGTCAGAATCATGACTCCTGAGCGTTTTGTTTTTTTGATTCATGTCAATACATGCTTTGGTTAATTTTTAGTAGCAAATGAACTGATCACAATCAATTTGTATTGTTTTCAATTATCATTACTTTATGATGTAATTTTTTAATATGACGAGATGGTTTTGGTGACTATTGTCGTAACGTCATATTCCACTACATTGGATACTCCATACTAAATTTAAAAAAAAACGTTAAAGACTAACGATACAGTCCTGGTTTTAATAAACATTAATAACGTAACATAAACAACATAAACAGAACTAACAACATTAAAGAAAACATCTGTAATACTCAAGTATACAAACAAAAAAAAATTGTAAAAAATACCCTAATACTTTGTATTGCCTCCCTTGGCTGCTATAACTGCCTGTATACGTCCGATACTGTCATTCAGGCTGCATATATCATATTGCGTTATGCTTTCCCTCCTGCTAAGCATTTCCCAAGGTCGAACATGATAGGAAGTTCATAGTAGTATATAGTTCACAATAATCACCAAAGCTTCCTTGTCATATTGAAAAATAATTTCAAAAAGAAATGATAATTGAAAAAATTGTAAAATGTTGGGGGCAAGTTCATTTGGCTCTTAAGAATTAACCAAGGCATGTATTGACATGATCCAAAAAACAAAATGCTCAGGAGACATAGTTATAACCGTAAAATTATATTTTAGGAAAATTGACACACGAAATTATTGCACAGGGTGTTTTAAACTTAGGGTAAAAAAACAACTCCTCGATTAACCCTGTATAATATGCAAAATACTAAAGTTTATAAAAACCTGAGTTAACGAATTAAAGTTGATATAATTATATACAGCTTACTAGATTATGTAAAAAGGGTTAAAAAATAACAAAAACATAACGCTTTAAATTTGACCACAAACTTCTCCGTTGCGTTTTTTGCATCAAAAAACATTTATCAAAGTCAAATTGGTCCTTTAAATTTTCAGTTTAAATCATGAATGCCGAAAATACGGACAATAATCCTTTTCTCACCTGTATGTTGTCTTCTATGTGTAGTCAAGACGCCCTTAAATCTAAAACATTTCCCGCAAAATTCACAAGTAAATGGCATCGCACCAGTATGTATCCTATGATGTTCTTTTAAAGTTCCTCTTTCCCGAAATTCCTTTCCACAAATATCACATCTATGAGGTTTAAGTCCGGAATGGACAGAATTGTGTTTTCTAAGACGAAGCTAAAAGGAAATGTAAACATTATTTTACTATTCAGGGACCACAACAGATCGAGAAAGATCACAGTTAAGGACGTCCATAGTGTGCACTGGCTTCCCGCTTCTCGCTTTATCGCGGCAGACTAGCGGTGAAAAGTAGATGAACAACAATATTGTTATGGCAACGGGCATATGCGCGTGGCCATAGTGCACTACTCAGCCTGATTCAACAGGCTTTAATCTGCTTTTATCCTTATTATATTTTTGATGAATGTTTTGACTACGCCTATGGTGTAGGGGTGGCATCATACTAATTAATTACGAAAAAAACGTATTAAAATGTTAACAAAAGGTACAAAACTAGTATAGACGTATAGCACACATCAAGTACATATAATATCGGAAAAATAATTATCGAATTCAATAAGAAAACTTAAGAAAACGCTAAAAAGGTGGATCGGGCTGTTTATTTACCTACGAAACGTAACTTCTGGCTCTTTCTTGTCACTGTTGCTTTTACATTTGAAAGCTGAACAACTAATCAGCATTGTAATAAAGTTTATACAAAGTTCACTACACACAAACTAATAAAAATTGCTAAAATTGTTGTTGGTGACCAGCTGATGACTCATTGTTTGCCACCAAAACAAAAGGCGTCTAAGGTCACAAATTCTGCTGCAGCCCGTATATGGGCGTTACATGTCCTTATATTCTTTAGTCATTGGGGGCGGGACATATTAATTAGGTTAAGCCGAGTCCACACGGGTTTGCAACAATATAAAAAACAAAATTTTAAAAATACGGATTATCCGAGTCGCCAATTATCCGAGCTAGGGTACAGCCTACATTAGCTCGGATGATCGAGAATCTACTCTATTTATTTGCAAAATTCTTAAAAATTAATCGATTTTAAGCATAACCATCTTGTGTATAATATTTTTAAAGTCGTACCATTGTTTTTTAAACGGTTTTCACAGTTATGTGAAAATATAATTTAAAATGTACTTGAATGTTTCTTTCTCTATGCGGAAATATTCGTAAATGTTTTGAGGGTGAGCTGTGAGTTGTGAATATAAGGTATGATATTCACGAAATTCACGTGTTTATGTTATTCATAATTTCGTATTTCAGTTTAAAATAAATATGATAAATAGCTAATAAAAGACATAATATACCCTCAAGGAATAGCACTATGGTGCGAAATGAGACATTCCGGCTTCCCGCAAGCGATTGTTAATGGCCACTACCTGATTCAAACATTCCCCGAGTAGGAACGAGAATGAATGAGAATTTTGAAAACATTTAGAAGAAAAAAAAATGAAATGTAAATGTATGTTTGCTGTTTTAATATGCAACACTGCATATTGCAATTTGCAAATTAAAACAGCAAATCAGTAGCTAAACTGTAATTGTGTTTAAATGCCCGAAAAAAAATATTAAGTGTGGCATATCATTGTACTCAGGAGACTTCTTTCAAAATCTGAAATATAAAATGCAGGTCCGTATTTAGAAAAATCAAGTTGGCCTCTGTATCCCACAAATTATCAGATAATTTAAAAATCTAAAAATGCTGTCAGATAGCCCTAATAAAGTGGCTAAGAGAATGTGCAATTAGTTTTTTGATTTTCTAAAAAGTAACGACAGGAAAAAATAAAATTGATTTTCCCAAAAAATTTAACAATCCTTGAAATTTTTAAAACTTTTTTGATGGCATCTTGGTGAACATCCCAAGGCACAACTTTGCCCCAAGAACGGTAAACTAATAGGATTGCTCATCCTCATAAGACGTACGTTCGCCTCTTCCCGCGCTTCAGCTGACAGTTGTGACGTCATTGTAGCCCTTGTCAAAGAGTAGATAAGACAAGAGACGACAGTTCGCGCGGTACCTTTCATGTTTGAGTGGTGGGGAGAGTGACCTCGTCTCGCTGGTCCCTTTAAATTTTCGTAATTTTTTCGCGGGAAATTTGAAATAAACTATTATTAAAACTTGCCTGTATAGCTTATAAATAGTTACTGTATGGGTAAAGAAATAAATAGAAACGAAAAAAAATGAGTTTTCTAAATATTATATAAAATAAATTATAATTAGAAACATATTTGTCGGGGAATAAAGATAATAAAAACAATATTTTGTATATCGTTGGTAAACAAGATAAAGTGACCAAGTCGATTTGTAAGAAATGTTTTATTTACGTGTATTTTTTTTACATATGGACTTGAACAAGTGTAAAATCACAATGTGGAGTTTATGTACAAAAAAATAGAGTTGCTCAATTTTTTTTTGTAAAAATATATTACAAGCTTCTAACCATGTCTTCGATCTATGGAATACATTTAGTTTAATAACATAATTATATAGTATATTTCTATAAAAATACTTTTCAGGATCCTTTGGAAAAGAGTGAAATATTATGTTTGTCGAAGAATAAGACCAATTATTGCAGTCTTTATAAGCACACACGTTGCCACCATCTCGTCTTTTCCTGCTACTCGTGTCCTGTTCAGTATTCATATTTAACAATATTTACAAATTAGTACGCAACAAAAACGATACTAAAATTAAACCTTAAAACTCTCAAAACGATAATATATCGAAAAACTCTGAAACACACTTTAAAAAGGCAAAAATGCAAGAAAACAACTAATCAGATTTGTTTATGTTGAAGCCTGATTAGCACAGCTGATTAGCGTCCTAAAATCATAGGTTAGATTAGATAAAATACGCCGTTGTCAGATTTTGAGATTTTATCTGTTTATCTTTGAAATCGATCAACTTAGTCATTATGTTTCTTTGATATTATCAGTACATTGCGAAAAAAGAACCTAAACCAACCTAAACTAAAAATTTACATTTCCGTATTAACATACGTTACTTATATCCTTCTTATATTATTAATTTACTTTCAGAAAATCTTGTTTATTTTTCAAAGAAATATACTTGGCAACAGACAAAATGGGACTTGATGGGACCTTTAAATTTTAATATATCTGCGTCTCTCTCGCGAAATTCGACTTCTTTGTTCACTGTCGTCTCTTGTCTTATCTACTCTTTGCCCTTGTCAAAGCCTTCGTGGCCTTGTCATGATAGTGTGTATTATTAGTTGTCTATGGTAAACTTATAAAAATAACAGCTGAGAAATGTTGAGTTAATTATTTTGTCAATTTTAAATGTGAAAAAGGTGTCTTTAAAGTTTTTAGAGCTATAGAGTGTATAAATACGTTCATTTTGTGTTGTGGATTGTGACAAAGTGCATACTAAATGCCCACGATTTTATTTATTAATTATTTTAAAGCGAAATATGGAAGTACTCTAAAAAGAATGCTTGCAAAAGGTGATGCTGGGACCTGCTGTTCTTAAAAATGCATTATCCGAGTATTTAATACGATTTATACAGTTAATTTTCTTTACTGCATACATATAAGGTGTTTAAATAAATAAACTAAATAATGAACGTTTTGCATTCGGTAACCAATAATGCACGTGTGTGTATTATTGGTTGCCGGATAAGGACTAATAACCATGACAAGGGCTACAACGACGTCACAAAGCGAGTAGTTTTCGCATGCACCTGGCGCACACTTTTGGCTGAATGAGCAGTCCTATTAGGTTAACTGTTCTTGACTTTGCCCCAATTTAACCATCTTCATATCTATTACGGTTTCCGAGATACCAATGCTCGTACCTGGAATTTGTAGCACCCTGTATAATAAATAATTTAAAAAAATATAAAATACTTAAATAAATTATTAAAAATATTAACTATATTCTTTAAAATGGATAGGGATTTTTTAGATATCAAATAACTGATATATGTACAGGGTGGGTCAAATTCGACGCTTTTAAATGGAAACACCCTTTTCTATAGGAGATAGACGAAAACTAATATCGGTGTCTGGAGCTCAATTTTCATCAAAAACATGATGGTGAAAACCGCACATCAATATCTGTTACCGTTTCGGAGTTACGGGGTGTTTTTCAAAAATGTGCATTTTTAACAAATCGCTGTAACTTTTTTGTTATGGAAAATTTTGTATTTCTATGAAAACATTTCCAAAGCACCTTTTTACGTAGAATTTAATTGTTTTAATATAATTTTTTTAAAATTAATAATTTAAGAGTTATCAACAGAAAAATTGAATTTTTATATGGAACACCCTGTATATTTTTAATTTATTGAAAAGAATTTAAAATTACCTTTCCAAAAATATAACACACTTGATATTTTGCTCGATTCCTCTTCGAGATATAGAGTATATAAAAATTCGCCCGCTTTAAATAAGTAGGCTTTGAACGGCACCGGCTGTAATGCAGAAAAATTCTAGCTGTGAGCATCAATTAAAACGAAAATAATATTTGCTATGAGAGATGCAGAAATTTATAACAATTTAAAATATATTTAACCAACATCAACACATTTAAACTGTATCTAATAACAATAAAAATAAATAGCAAACCAGGACATGAGATTTTGCTACAGGTGTTCGACATATCGACCGTCTTCTGTTATGAACAGACGGGCAGTTTTTAAACATTTCTCGCGGAATTCATTAACTCAGTGGGGGTGAAAGATACCCTCTCCTAACTGCTAAGTATTTCTAATTCTTGTCTAGATTATACAGAAGAATAAAGAACCTTTATTCTTCCGCAAATATATCAATAGGATTAGATCCATGGGCACTAAGTCAGGCGGCCTCGACGGCCAACGGCTGGGTTCTTGGTCAGCTATGCAATTATTCTTGAAATTGGCTCCAGAAATTTGCTGATAACTTCAGCGTTCAGAGGCGGTGCGTCGTCTTGCTGGAAAAATATGTTTTAGAGTTCCATTAAGGGCATATTATCAATGAGGGGTCCAAAGCCTACTAGCAAAGAATATCTTAATACCCTAGAAGTCTCGTCTCGCATCAAAATCTGACCTGTCGATGGGGCCTCGCTTTGGCGAGCGAGGCCCCAACTTCGTGGGGCCTCGCTATTTTGCTCGGAATTGAACGAACAGACGCGCGGCGTTGCCTTGTTTTGTGTGTAC